GAAAATAAGAAAAGAGTAAAAATCCAATCTTACATTGCCTTTGCAACACCAAACATGACTTATTTTTATATATATATATATAAAAATAGATGTATCTAGTACATATATGTATATATGCACTAGTATATATGTATCTAGTACACATACTATGTACACACACATATATTGAAACACCACCACTAAGGAGACACAAAAGAAAGTGAAAAGTCATCTGTGACAACAGTGCCACAAAATTGTCAATCTCATGAGCTGAACTGGCAGTTCAAGAGTTAATTTTGATGAATAAGTATTGAATTAAAAACGACAAATAAAAAAATATCCAGCAGGTCTTGAGGAGGGGGTGATTTCCATTCTCACTGGAACCAATAATGTGACAAAGGGGTGAATTTAAAAGGGAGCAGTTTTTAACTGCTGTTTGTGCTCTCACTGAGCTTCATGCACAGCCTGCTTTGTGATCTGGGATCACAGCCACAAAGCCAGGCATTTAAGGAGGTTTAAATCTATTTTAACAGCTGGTTTTATACCCAGAAATAAAAAGGCAGTTTTCTTTCAGGGCTTTCCTATTTTCTATAAACAAAACATGCAACAGCCTCTCATTCATGTCTAAAACATCTCCTTCAACCAACACCTAGCAGCAAGATTTTGATTTTTGCTCAGTTTTCACAACACATCAGCTGTACAGAACTTGTGCTTATCAACAAATTGTCTGACTGATATTCCTTGTCCAGTCCTGCTGTGACAGTTTATGATGTCACCCACTCCCAGCCACCCATCCCAACCTGCTTCTGAAAATCTGCCCCTTCCAGTACCAGTAAATCAAGCAATAAATTAATTTTATTTTGAGCACAAGCTGTATTTAGGCAACTGTATCAAGCAGGAAATTCCCCACAGTAATTTTTCCATCACAGAATGCAGACAAATATCTTCAATAAATAATCTTTCCTCCATAAAAGGAGGTGCATGAAACCCCTGTAACTTGCAAAGATTTGTTTCTTTTCTTCACATCTCAACCACAAACACACAGACACTGTGGCAAACGTGATCCTGCAAGTCTGACACAGACAATCCTGTGATTGTCTCACACCATAAAACAATTCTTAATGAAACCTGCTGAAAACATGAAACCTGAGCAGTGCCTGTTTCAGAACAACTCAAAGTTACCTCACTTACCTATCACTTGTAGGAATTCAGTGTTGCTGATCTGTGAATCACTAATGCTGACAGTCTCTTCTTGTCTCACCTCTCCCAGCAGAAATCCTTCCTGCAATTCAAAAAGAAAAATATTAAAAATAGAAAATAAAATCCACTACATGCAGTTATGTACTGTAACATTCTTAGCTTCAAACTGAAACAAAGATGAAGTTTGAAAGACACATCTGAGCTGCAGTGGGTAGAAACTGCCCTGAGGTTTTACCAAAGCTGTTTTTTTGCTTTTACAACACTGCAGGGATGGGCTGTCCAGAAGGAACACTCTGCACACAACCCACACAGGGCAAACACATCACAAAAGGGAGAGCTCAGCCCCAGATACAAGGGGGAAAAGCTCCAGCAAAGCCAAGGGAAGAGGAGATCAAACCTGCAGGGACTTACACAAATTTTAGTGTAGAGACTGGGCTGGACCCTGACCAACGCCAGGGATTGCAAAACCCAGGAGGCAATTTAAAAGTAAGGCCATTTTAAGGTACATTAATTTATTCTCCATCCCTACCCAAAATAAAGGAGAGATTGAGCTGAAACCAGGAGGTTTTGGCACAAGGTGCAGAGGAAAAGAGCAAGCTCAGGCTAAAAAGGTGCCAACAAAACCCAGCGATTCGGGAACAGCCCAATCTGCACTGCGCCCGTGGCTGCTGGAAAATCCCTCATGGAGCTTTTACAGGAGCGTTTTCCTGCCACAGCCCGGGTGCTGCGGGAGCCACACCCCGCGGGGAGCACCCCGGGCACCCCACATCCCGATTGGACACCCCACATCCCGCCCGGGCACCCCACATCCCGCTTGGACATCCCACATCCAGGGAACAGCCCGGACATCCCGAGGGGAGCACCCCTGGTACCCCACATCCCTTGGCAGCATCCCGCAGACCCCACATCCCTCTCCGAAACCCCACACCCCACCCAGCCACCCCCACATCCCGGGGGCAGCATCCTGGGGTCCCCACACTGCAGGAGAAGCACCCCGGGCACCCCAAATCCCAGGGAGCAGCCGGGGCACCTCACATTCTACCCGGGATGGAGCAAACCGGGCAGCCCACATCCCGGGTACCCCGCGGAGCATCCGGGGCACCCCACATGCCGGACGCCCCACATCCCGCCCGGACACCCCACATCCCGCCCCGCTGTGTCCGTCTGGGGCCGCCCCCGCCCGCTGTGACCCGCGGCCGGGCCCCACCGGCGGCAGCGCGGCCTGGAAGCTCCGCAGCGCAGCCGCCGGCCGGGGTGCAGCGTGAGGGAGCCCCGCGGGCCCGGGGCGGCAGCGGGGGGCACGTACGTGGTCGGCGCTGCTGTTGGCGCTACAGTAGCACACGGAGCTGAAGGTGTAGCCGGAGATGGACGCCGCCATGACGGACACACCGCCGCCGCCGCCGCCACGGCGCACGCGCGCCGGACGCAGGCCCGCTTCCGGCGGCGCCGCGGGGCGTCATGGGGGCTGTAGTCCTCGGGGGGGAACAGTGTTGTCACCCATCCCCCATGGGAAGGGTGGGAAACTGTGGGAGCCATTGGAACATTGAGTTTGGAACAGACTCCTGAGTCCAACCTGTGACCGATCATCAACTGGTCACTCAGCCCAGAGCACTAAGTGACACGTCCAGGGGTTCCTTGGACACCTCCAGGGGTGGAGACTCCTCACCCGTTCCAACCTTTAACAACCTCTTCTACGGAGACATTTCTCCTGATGTCCAACCTGAGCCCCCCTTGTCTCCGCCTGAGGCCGTTCCCTCTGCTCCTGTCCCTGTTCCCTGGAGCAGAGCCCGAGCCCCCGGCTGTCCCCTCCTGGCAGGAGCTGTGCAGAGCCACAAGGGCCCCCTGAGCCTCCTTTGCTCCAGGCTGAGCCCCTGCCCAGCTCCCTCAGCCTCTCCTGGGGCTCCAGATCCTTCCCCAGCTCCGTGTTCTCCTCCCTGGACACTGTGTTCTCTGTCTCATCCTGAGGAACATTGATGTGCTGGAGCTTGTCCAGAGGAGGCCAAAAAGGTGATGAGGGAGATGGAGCCCCTCTACTCTGGGGCTGTTCACCCGGCAAGGCTCCAGGGAGAGCTCAGAGCCGCTCCAGGGCCTGAAGGGGCTCCAGGAGAGCTGGAGTGGGACTGGGGACAAGGATGGAGGGACAGGACACAGGGAATGGCTCCCACTGCCAGGGGGCAGGGCTGGATGGGATACTGGGAAGAAACGCCGCGGTTCACACACACGGAGCTGTACAGGAGGCAACTGAGCAGCAGTGCTATTTATCACTCTCATTTCCTTATTAAAACACCTTGCAATAAACCTTGTAACAGCAATAACGTCTGTGGCATTTGCAACGAATAAACGAATAAATATCCAAAAGAATATAAATATTGCGCTGATTTTCATGGAATCACGGAGGGATTGGAATCGGAAGGGACTTTCAGGGCCCTTTAATTACAACCCTTGCGGTGGGCAGCGACACCTCGCACAGACCGGGTGGCCCCCTACCCCATCCAACTCAGAGGGGATTTGCAATGTTTATTTATAATCCACATTATATCCAGTTTATAAGCCCGGGGGGATTGGGAAACATTAGAAACCACGCCAGGCTCCGGAGCGGG